AAAGAAAAAATCATCCTTTCTTTCTTTCTCTTTCAACAATTTTGTGAATGTTAAAAAGGGCACAATGTTTCGAATCACATGAGGTGCCAAAAATCAGACCACGATTAAAATACTATTGTAAATCTTGAACCTTGTACCAACTATTAATTGAAGTTACTTCTCCGGCCAACCTTTCTCACCATTTTCTCCTTCTTCTAAAGCATCCTGTTGACTAATCACACGTAGTACGGATTTTTTACTTGACTCTTGCATTTCACCAGCAATTATCAACTCGTCCAGTACAAAGTACGCCTGTATGCGTGCGTACGTGCGTGAATTAGAACCCATGTTGTCAGGTGACGCTAAAAGGGATGACTCGAAAATACCTTTTGAAAATTGAAAATCAAATCCAACTCACAGACCTAAAGACAACGTCAATAATAATGATCAAACCGAATTTTTGTTAGGCTAGAACGGAATGAATGTGACCAAAGAAACTTACATTGCCAAAATATCTATCTAGAATTTCTACATATCGATGAATTATCTCAAGTGTTATTAATTCATTATCCGTGGATGAAATGCCCGTGACGAAAAATAAACTGGCGTATCTATATTATCGAGAGGCAACATAGTAATGGTGAAGTTGATCGATCGCGATCCAGTTCAACAGTGCAATGAGAAAAATGATCCAATATTTGCCTTCGATATACAACTTTTTCGTCTGCGTTCAAATCAAGTGGTTTTGATTAAGATCTGAAATATGAAGGCAAACAGTCCAAATGAAAATACAAACCCTTATATTCCAAAAAGTTACACATTTTAGTGCGTCGGGACAACACCATTTGTGTCACTTCTTTAATAATCTTTTGTTTTTCCTTGGGTGAAAGTGTGTTAAACCATTTTGCTAATCTTACTTTTCCTTGTCTGCTCACTAACAGTACGTACTTGATCTGAGGGAAGTTAACCATTTTTAAGTTTCACCATGTATAATCAAGTAAGTTCAAGAGTTTAATCTTACCCCCATTTTCGTAAGTAATGAGTATGTATTTTGAAGCGGCGAATGTAGGTTTCTGGGAAGTGGCTTTATATAAACATTCGATAATCTCAATCCACCAATCACATTCCGCCCTCAGTTGCATGGTGAGCACATTAAGTTTTATAATATGTAAAAACCACATCTTGTGTGGGTTTTTGTTTTTTGTTTTTTTTTTTTTTCTTAATTAGAATCTCCGTAATGATCGTTTAAATATCAACCAAAAACAAAAAAAAAAGAGCCCTCGGTTGAACGGTTTAGAACAATTAATGATGGACAATTT